ATTTTGAGGGTCTCGAGGACGAGATCGTTTTGTGCATACGTCGACGCAATCGTGCAGTTGCGTCGACGTATAAAGAATCTGTGGAGAACAGTCAGCGTTTCGAACAGTCATTCCCATGGAACCTGAATGTGCTGAGATATTAATCATACTCCCTAAGCATCGGGTAGAATTCGTGTCGGCTAGCATCGGTAAAATGTTTTTCCAGTTTAATTCTTCACCATTAAAAGACTACCGCTTCAATAAAATGATATATTGTGCAAAAGAATTGCCTCATGCTGGAATCGAACCAGCGACCTTCTGTTTACGAGACAGACGCTCTGCCCCTGAGCCAATGAGGCCACGTAATGGAACTTCTCATTTCCTTTAAATTCACACCATCAATAGAAAACCTCTCTGATCAATGATTTACTGTGGTTGAAAGTTTAGTAACAATAATCAAAAAGCCAACAAATAAATGTGAGATCCATAAAAGGAATCAGTTTCAATCACTTTATTGTCCATTTGTTTGGCCCCACGCTAGGATCTTGTGTATGTCAACAATAAAATTCAGTTCATCATAGTTACAAGTCCGCAATGGAACATTACTGAAACAACAACCAAAATATTGAACATGTATAGACACCAAACAATAACCATGTGTATGTTAACATTAAAATTGAGTTCATTTAGAACAAAATATTTGCAAAGGATTACAATGGAATATTTGCACACAAATGAAGTGATTCAAAAAAGTGATAATAATCAGCGGTAAATTGCAACGAATCTATACAAGTTCCACATGAAATCTTCACATGAATTGGAGCACATCACGATCTCATTTCTTTCTCGAGTTTTTCATCACTTTTTTCTTGTTTCTCCCTTTCGAACCAGTACATTTTTTCGCATTCACCTGATCATCATTGTACAGGTCATGCTTCACCTTCATTAATGTGTCGCTCATAAGTTCAGCACTTGCTCTCATATTTTCGATAAACTGAGAGCAAGTTTTTGCCTATAAGAAAGTTTATACGAGCATGATCACTCCTTAACGAAACAACCGAAGTGATAGTATTTAAAATTGCCGATAGTGAATGCGTTTCGTTTCTTGAACAGTCTCCGATAAATAAGTTAGCTCACCAGCCGAGAGGCGTGTCTTTGAGATATGAGCAACAAGAAGTCATGCATCGTAAAATCTCGTTCTTTCGCATTTAACTGCATGAAGTAGCATCCGTTCTGACGTTTTCTGTGTTCCACACTACAATTGTGAGTAGAATAGTGGATGCGATTAGCGGCTGTTGATAAAGCACTGCATCGTATCAAATAGAAGCAGTCGCTTACATGGGATTGTCAGTTGGCTCCCAATGCGTCAGTTCCTTGAGACAAAACGGACATTTTACATTATCTGCATCTTGCTTAGTTCTGCCTGGGCAGTAGAAGAAACCTGCCTCTGCCATCTGCAAACACGAGTCAAACTGCACAGCATATTGCCGTAACACTCAATTAATTGTTTCATTGGATAACCAATTTTGATATGATCACATTTTGCATGCTTGTTGATTGCAATTTTGGACAATTATTCATATGTGCCAACATTGATAACAATCAAGTGACCCGTATTACCAGTCTCTTTACTATAATTCTGAATGAAATACTATAATACATAATTCTGTCCTAGTGCATATGAAATTGCTACCTACTGGAAACATTATTACCGCATTTAACGAATTTCTTTGCGCACAGACAAAGTTAACACAGAGCTTCACTTCATGTCAGTAACTAACGGCTCATGAAAAATTTGATGCCAAAGAGGTTTGTTTGTGAGCGTTAACAAGAGAATATCATGCGAAAAATCGATTGCATTGATGTGCAAACGAACCTTTTGAGGTGATAAATTATCGATACGATGCGGCCATCTCGATGTAAACGATTTCAATCGGTTAGCATAGAAAAAATATGGACTATATGACTGAACGATAAAAGAAAATAGTTCAGCTTTGAGGCTCTCTTGATTCTGCGTTGTAAATCGTTTTGAAATCAACGGCGTAATGCAACCGCCATCACCTTTCACACGGAAATCACTCGTATCGGTAATAGCCGTACGCACTGAGTTCGATGTGGCAACAATTTCTGCAAGAATTTGAAATTTGCGGAACAACCAAACTAATGAAAGGTTTGCGCATGAAGTGAGTGAATTGCAGTGGTATCGTACTTGACGATTCAGTGGTTCAAATGATGCTCAGTCTGCGTTACTTTTCGAAACGATGGCATATGTAAACGTTCCTCCTCCCTCCCCCCCCCCCTTAATCATATGGGTATTGCCATCTGCCGTTTATCACCTTAAAGGTATTTCAAAAGGTTGATTATATCTATGGTATATCAAACAAGTTGATATCTCTTGAGAGAGGGTTTATTACGTCCTGGATATTAATTGCAAGAAATACTCATTAACGTTGAACGGAATGAACGAGTGCTTTCAANTGTGTTCACTCTCGGCACATACTCAGCTCAATATAAAGAAATTCAGCCAACGCCCCAAATTATCGTTTAATAAGAAGACAACTCTCGAACTCAGACAGCTTGCGAAATCAAGATCACTCGAATAAGATTTTAAGCTGCCTCTTGATCGAACTATGCTGACAATCGTTCATCAGCATCTTCATAGAGGAAATTGAATCGCTCTGCGAGCTTTATTTGTAAGTGAATACTAACTGCGTTGATGCCCAACCATCTTCGTTGGGAAGCAGACCAAAAGTGAACGTTGGGTGATGTTCGAACATGAAATTGCATTTGTTATCAGACGATAATGCAGAATTTCAATTTACCGATGAAAATTTGCAAATTTCAATGTTTCCAGTGCAAAATTCGGCATTTCAATCCGAATGTTGAACCTAGTTTTGTATCCGCCCTTTGAGTTTCGGAATATTCAATGAGGAATTCAGTTTGAACTGAATCAATCGCATTTTGAGTTGAGCTTGCATTCTTTATCATCTCTTTATCATGATCTTTTGGTGCTTTTGCGAAGCAATGTCAATCAGAAATACTGGAAAAGTGCGAAACTTCCATCTCTCGATCACTTTCTCATCGAAACGTGCAATGTATCTGTTGTGTTATTAGACAAGAAAATTTTTTTGCTCATACAACAACTCGTTCTTTCAACTGCTCTTCCAAATGAACTTCCCAAGTGAAAATTTGTCGATGAAAAAAAATCGAAACCGACTTATTATGTGAGTGTTGTCAAAGTTCATTTTTGCTTGCTGTCGGCGCGCAGTTCAACTTTCTTCACGAAATATGCCCATCTAAACTGAATTCATTAATTTGAACTCATTCGCCTTCGTGATGAAT